GCTGCCGTCTCCACGATGGTCAAGGAGTGAGGGCCAGGCATGTAAGGACACCTGGGAGTGTGACCTAAAGTGTGCAAGCGATGTAGTGTAAGCTATGTGGTGCAGTATATGTGGTGCAAGGTAGAGACGGCGGCGGGGCGGTAACGGGCGGCAGCGTGGCGAAGTCTCGTTGGACTCGCCCAGCGCACGAGGCGGCAATGAGGCGGCAATGAGGCGGCAACGAGGCGGCAACAAGGCGGCAGCGGCCGTCAATGTGACGAAACCTCGCCGTACCCACCCAGCGCACGAGGCGGCAACGTGGCGGCAACGGCGGCAACGTGGCGAAACCTCGCCAGATTCATCGAATTCGTGAGGGAACAGAAGTCTGGCCCCCTAACGGCAAGCACTGTTTGGAGTCAACAGATGCCGAATGGGAACATATGCCTTAGTTCGGCGTGCGCGGTCAACAACAAGCACCCTCTCGTATCACCTTGATGGGCTAGGCGTGGGAGAAGCGGGGCGAAGAGGGTGTGGGGAGCAGGGAGGCCCTCGCGGGTATCTGGTATCAGGCCTCGCCGTTGCGGCAGGACGTTTTTCCCAACCATCCTGTGGTGTTGGGTCCTCGTTTTGAAGAAACGTCGCCCCGCCTTCCTCCTTCCTCCTCCTTCCTCCTCCTCCCCTTCCTCCCCCTTCCTCCCCCTCCCACACCTATTCTGGCACACCCCTCAGACGTTTCGTGGCCCCATAGGGAGCTCCACCGACGGCCCCAGTGGCTGCGCCCGCATGCGGTTCCACCCCCCATTCTGGCACACCCCTCACACGTTTCGTGGCCCCATAGGGAGCTCCACCGAAGGCCCCAGTGGCTGCGCCCGCATGCGGTTCCACCCCCCATTCTGGCACACCCCTCACACGTTCGTGGCCCCATAGGGAGCTCCACCGAAGGCCCCAGTGGCTGCGCCCGCATGCGGTTCCACCCCCCATTCTGGCACACCCCTCACACGTTTCGTGGCCCCATAGGGAGCTCCACCGAAGGCCCCAGTGGCTGCGCCCGCATGCGGTTCCCCCATTCTGGCACACCCCTCACACGCTTCGTGGCCCCATAGGGAGCTCCACCGAAGGCCCCAGTGGCTGCGCCCGCATGCGGTTCCACCCCCCATTCTGGCACACCCCTCACACGTTTCGTGGCCCCATAGGGAGCTCCACCGAAGGCCCCAGTGGCTGCGCCCGCATGCGGTTCCACCCCCCATTCTGGCACACCCCTCACACGTTTCGTGGCCCCATAGGGAGCTCCACCGAAGGCCCCAGTGGCTGCGCCCGCATGCGGTTCCACCCCCCATTCTGGCACACCCCTCACACGTTTCGTGGCCCCATAGGGAGCTCCACCGAAGGCCCCAGTGGCTGCGCCCGCATGCGGTTCCACCCCCCATTCTGGCACACCCCTCACACGTTTCGTGGCCCCATAGGGAGCTCCACCGAAGGCCCCAGTGGCTGCGCCCGCATGCGGTTCCACCCCCCATTCTGGCACACCCCTCACACGTTTCGTGGCCCCATAGGGAGCTCCACCGAAGGCCCCAGTGGCTGCGCCCGCATGCGGTTCCACCCCCCATTCTGGCACACCCCTCACACGTTTCGTGGCCCCATAGGGAGCTCCACCGAAGGCCCCAGTGGCTGCGCCCGCATGCGGTTCCACCCCCCATTCTGGCACACCCCTCACACGTTTCGTGGCCCCATAGGGAGCTCCACCGAAGGCCCCAGTGGCTGCGCCCGCATGCGGTTCCACCCCCCATTCTGGCACACCCCTCACACGTTTCGTGGCCCCATAGGGAGCTCCACCGAAGGCCCCAGTGGCTGCGCCCGCATGCGGTTCCACCCCCCATTCTGGCACACCCCTCACACGTTTCGTGGCCCCATAGGGAGCTCCACCGAAGGCCCCAGTGGCTGCGCCCGCATGCGGTTCCACCCCCCATTCTGGCACACCCCTCACACGTTTCGTGGCCCCATAGGGAGCTCCACCGAAGGCCCCAGTGGCTGCGCCCGCATGCGGTTCCACCACCCATTCTGGCACACCCCTCACACGTCTCGTGGCCCCATAGGGAGCTCCACCGAACGCCGCAGTGGCTGCGCTCGCAGCGGTTCCACCCCCCATTTCGGCACACCCCTCACACGTTTCGTGGCTCCATAGGGCGCTCCACCGAAGCGCCCCAGTGGCTGCGCTGTCATGCGGTTCCACACCCTATTCTGGCACACCTCTCGCACGTTTCGTGGCCCCATAGGGGGCTCCACGAAATGTCCCAGTGGCACTGCCCGCTTGCGTCCGCCACCACCCAGCACAGCCCTTGTTCCCTGCGCTTCACCCACCCAGAACAGCGCTTCGTAGCCCTATGAGGAGCTCCACCAAAGGTCCCAGCGGCACCGCCCGCATGCGTCCGCCACCACCCTGCACAGCCCTTGCTCCCTGCCTGCGTTTCACCCACCCAGTACAGCGTTTCGTGGCCCCATAGGGAACTCCACCGAAGGTCCCAGTGGCACTGCTCGCATGCGTCCGCCACCACGCAGCACAGCCCTTGCTGACCGCGTCTCATCCACCCAGTACAGCGTTTCGTGGCCCCATAGGGAGCTCCACCGAAGGTCCCAGTGGCACCGCCCGCATGCGTCCGCCACCACCCAGCACAATTGCGGCATTCACAACTGCATATGGTTGGGTCCTTCGCCAGGCTAATTGTCGTTGTTCCCCCACTCTCTTCTCGCTCTCTCTCTCTATATATATAGATATAGATATAGATCGGTACCTTTGTACATCTATATCTCTTTCTATATATATATACACATATGTATGCATCTAGGTGTATATATGTGCATATATGGTTTTATATATCTATGCATATATCCCTATCCAAATATCATTATATGTATACCTACAGTTATACCAGTATCGTTGTATCTGTACATCCTTACCTCTTTGTATATCTCCTCGTCTATATATACATATATGTTACTGTATATATATGATTCTGTGTCTATATATATGCATATCTAGAATATGTGTACACATCTACATCTACACCTATAATTACACACGCATTCATATCTAGATACGACATATTCATATATATATATATGTATATATATATATATATATATATATATATAGGTGTGTGGGTACACATCTATATAAACACACGCATGCTTATCCATATATGTATAACGTATTTGTATGTTATGTACATATATTCCGAGGGGACAGGCCCGCGGCCCCAAAACAGGTGCCCCGACCTCTTCCAGGGGGGCACCAGGGGGACGGGGGGCCCCGAGACCGCTCCCATACTGCTTCCAAACACGCTCCAGCCTGGGAACACCACCCCAGAGAGCTTCCAGACGCCCAAGATGGTCCCCAGACTGCCCCAGAGGTCCCCAAGATCGCCCAAGAGAGCCCACAGAGGCTTCCCAAGAGAGCCCCCAGAGGCCCAACTCGCCCAATCCTTTTTGGAAACGTGCACTTTTAACGTACACGACTTTTCTTTCGGCTGCGAGACCACCAAATTGTGTTTTTTTCGGCACTGCTACCAACGCAGGGACATCGCACCGACTTTCAATTGCCTTAGCTCCGATTGTTTTGGAGGCTAGTTGACTGAGCTCAGACGGCGGCGCCAATAACGTCGGCGCCCAGCCGTGACGACCGAACAGTGTGTGTATTAGCCAGCGTGGATCCCAAACAGTAAGTCGGTGCACTGTGGATGTGTTAGCTGTGTGGTGCAAGCTATGTGGTGTAAGCTATGTGGAGTATGGGGCCTGCGGGCGACCGCCTCACCACTTCTGATTCTGCCCGCCCTCCCCCCCTCTCCCAGGCGGCGGGGCTGGCCCCAGACCGGCACATCTTCGTGTACTGGTTCTCTCGGCATCCCGCAAAGGGGGGGTTTGCCCCGGTGTGTGTGTGTGTGTGTGTGAGAGAGTTCGATCGGTTTTTGCCCCGAGCCGCCGAACACAGATGCCCCCCAGCCGCCGGCAGCTCCCGACAGCTGCCGGTAGGTGGGGCATGCGGGGCGCATCCGTTTGCGGCAGCTCGACGCACCAGCGGATCGAATTCATGCCCCCCCTCACCCTCACCCCCCCTCCGGTGCATCCCGGCTCTCGAGGGAGGAGCATCGATGGTCTCAATGACGCGTGAAAGCCCAGAGTGTGTGTGTTGCCCTGCTCGGCTCCGCCGATCGCGCGCAGCCCGTGTCGGCCGCCGTTTCGGTGCCTGCGTCGTTCGGAAAGGGCTTCGGTGGGCGCGCACCCGCTGGCACCGGCATGCGCTCTGAGGATCGTCGAGACAAGCGGCACAAGCGCACGGCTTCGGAGGTCCGCGCGGACTTCTCGGACCTGCGCCGGGCCGTGCCTCCAGCGCCGCCCCGGAGCGCGCGCCTGGGAGGGGGCCCGGCGCCGATGCCAGAGATCCGCGCGGGCCTCCGGCAGTTTGCGGGCACGACGCCGAGACAAGGAGCGCTCTGGGCTCGTTTGTGTGTGTGTGTGTGCTCTGGTGGTCGGGCCGTTCTTGGGAGTGGGGTCCAGGAGCCGGGTCGCTGCCAGGGCGCTCCGTGGCCAGACGAGCTTCAGGTTCCTCAGTTGTGTTCAGGTTTTCTTTCGGTTTTCGATGGGAAATCGAAGTTGAACTTGTGAAGAAAAAGGGGCCTCGTTCCTGATTTAGGTTCCTTGGGTCAACGCCCCGACTGTATGTTTTGCCGTTTTTCCCCCTTCTAGGTTCGGGTCTGGCGACAAGACCTGGCGGCGGGAGGTCTTGGACCAGATCGCGGCCTACCGCGCGGCGCCTGGCGCGAGGCTGGCGGGTGCCTGCTGTCGCAGACCTTGTTTCTGCGCGTCGTGACGTTTGCCGTCGTAGTTCTCGGCGCCCTGCATGTCCCTGGGGGACGCCCAGACGGTGCGGTGGCCGTACCGTGTGGTGAGCCAGCGGGGACGAGGGGTGACAGCACGGTCTTGGGACTGGGGTCGTTCTCCGAGGATGTCTCGGGCAGCTGGAGCCT